CCCTAGAGTCCCGTTCCGTTCCCTAGAGTCCCGTTCCGTTCCCTGGCGTCCCGTTCCGTTCCCTGGCGTCATTTATTCATTTCAGATATGGACATCTTTTTCTCCACGGTCAGCGTGGAGATTTTGAGCGAGCTGTTGCAACAGGTGGAGACGATGTTGCGATTATTCAATGAACAGACCCTGTGCCATTTCAATGGATCATCTCTGTTGATATCAATTCGGAAAAGGAGCGGTTGTATAAAACTGATCGATTTTGCGCACACAAGTTTGTTCCATGATAGTATCGACACTAGTACCATTACCGGCCTGCGATACTTTAGGGAGCTGCTCCGACACAGTCTTAACCAGAAACGATGCCGAGCCGAAGAGTACCAAATCGGGGCGGAGCTGGCCTGTAGCTAGGCGAGATCCTGTAGCGAGTTTTTTTCTTGGGATAAGTGCCTACCGATGAATTACCAGGCGCAATAACGACGTTGACGCAACAACGTTGAACCCGTTCTCGGGACGTTGAACCCGTTCTCGGGACGTTGAACCCGTTCTCGGGACGTTGAACCCGTTCTCGGGACGTTGAACCCGTTCTCGGGACGTTGAACCCGTTCTCGGGACGTTGAACCCGTTCTCGGGACGTTGAACCCGTTCTCGGGACGTTGAACCCGTTCTCGTAGTCTAACCCCGACTTCGTCATAACTCGTGGCTTTGTCGTCAGTGTATGTCGCCAACCTTATGGTAGCGTTATGATGATAGCGAGCATCATGATAATAGAGGAACATCATGGTGGGAATGGACGTCATGGTGGTAGACCTAACCAAGTGAGGGGCCTAAGTGGGCAGGCGCTTTTTGGCAACTAATTTGCCGTTGTCCATGGTGTTGTACGGGTTGTTTGTGAAGGTAGATGGTGAGCATCTGAGTCACGTGGGGATACCAGATGACTTCACTTTTGCGGGCGACTTCTCCAGTGGTGGCATTTGCAAAGAGAAGGTGACATGGAACTTTGATAGCGTGGAAGAAGGTGTTCGAGCCTTACAGAACCTTACCATGTCTTTCGGAGGCAAAGCAAAGGCAACACTAAGCATCGAAAAGCCCAACAAAGAAATTGAACTGCCCAACTCCAGTGCAAGATATGGCATAGCCAAAAGCAATGCAGGCTGGAGTCTCATTGCTATCTTTGAAGTACGTTGTATTTTATACACTGCTCTTTTCCGAGTCACACACAAGTTACAGACGTGACATGGAATCACATACTTCACATATTCCACTACGTCTTTAACTTTAGCTCCGAGGCATGGAACTTACTAAAGTCCATCTGGATCAAGTTAACATCGTAAGCCAAGGAGGCACTGTTTGGACAGGCCGAGATCCCGTGGATTTTTGCGAGTACTGCGAGAAATCGGGCAACGTCGTAACCATCGAATCATTCGAGACCAAAGTGGAAACGATTAAAGCCAAGAAATGAGCCCGAATTTGACCGCCCAATCTGCTCGTGCGAGAAACACCTGCACCACGTGCCTCCCTTTTTTTCCCGCATGTTAGGGTCATAAATCCTGACTTACGCGCCACTGACTTAATCGTCATTGACTATTTATTATTAACAAATATTTTGGACGCACTCGGTTCATCTCGGGGCGCACTCCCCCCCCCCCCCC